TAGAGACGGGGTTTCACCATGTTGACCAGGATGGTCTCGATCTCTTGACCTCGTGATCCACCCGCCTCGGCCTCCCAAAGTGCTGGGATTACAGGCTTGAGCCACCGCGCCCGGCCAAAGTAAGTATTTAAATTTCATACAATTCAACAATTAAGATACTAGTTGCAAGACACTAGGTTAGATGTATAAGATACTGCCCTTTTAAGAATGTGGACATCCAAGATGGATTAGACAAGTACAAATCCCATAAAGTAATATTAGAAAGAATATCATATAGTAAGAAAAAGTACAAATCATGTATTTAGGGTATTCAAAGGAGAGAGTAGCAAGGAGGAAAATCAGAGACGGACTCATGAAAGATGGCATGAGAGGTAGTTTTGGACAATGAGGAACAGAAGGCATACTAGGTGAAAGAAATGGAACAAAAACCTGAATGTGGCACATCAGTAAGCACTTGGCTAGTAAGAAAGCCAGTCTGATCAGGGCAGTGTGTGTGTGTGTGTGTGTGTGTGTGTGTGTGTGTGTGTGTGTGCGCGCGCGCACACACGAAAGACATAGAAAGAGAAACAGAAACAGGCTGGTAGGAGCCTAAAAACAGGTTTATAAATCTATACTGGGTTTGGTAGGCCATGGGGAATTACTAACGATTTTGAACATGTCAGTGTCAAAATCAGAGCCATACTTTAGGAAGAATAAGAGAGTAACAGTGGGCTGGGTATGGTGGCTCATGCCTGTAATCCCAGTACTTTGGGAGGCCGAGGTGGGTGGATCACGAGGTCAGGAGTTCAAGACCAGTCTGGCCAACATAGTGAAACCCCGTCTCTACTAAAAACACAAAAATTAACCAGGCATGTTGGCGCATGCCTGTAATCCCAGCTACTCTAGAGGCTGAGGCAAGAGAATTGTTTGAACCCAGGAGGCGGAAGTTGCAGTGAGCCAAGATCTCACTACTGCACTTCAGCCTGGGTTACAGAGCAAGACTCTATTTCAAAAAATAATAAACAGCTACCATTAAGTACTTCCTATGTGTCACTGTGCTTGGCACTTTAAAAAAATCACTTCATTTATTCCTTTCACAGATCCTGAGAGGTCTGGATTCTTAGTTGACAGTTGAGAGAACTGAGAGCTTTAATCAAGACTTAAGTAACTGCCTAGGGTCAGGCGGCAGACAAAGTAATGGAGCCAGAATAGGTGCCTAGATCCTTCCCAGTCTAAGGCCCTCTCTCCTTCCACTGCATCTTGCGGTTTTTTACGTAGCGGATGAATAATGCTAACATTTATTCTTATGTTCAAAAGGAATCACTGTCTCTTTTTAATTTTTTTTTTATTTTTAGACAGGGTTTCACTCTGTCACCCAGGCTGGAATGCAGTAGCATGATCATGGCTTATACAACCTCCATCTTCCAGGCTCAAGTGATCCTCCCACCCCAGCCTCCTGAAGAGCTGGGATTAGAGGCAAGCAACACCACGCCCAGCTAATTTTTGTATTTTTTGTAGAGATGGGGGGTTTCACTATGTTGCCCAGGCTGGTCTTGAAATCCTGGGCTTAAGCAATACTCCTGTATCAGCCTCCCAAAGTGCTGGGATTATAGATGTGCCCATTGTCTCTTTAATATCATATACATATATATATATGTATATGATATTAAAGCCCTCAATGAGGATAAGAAACAAACTGTGGACATAAATACAATTGACTAGTTTGCTGATCGTTAATTAATTCATTCAATTCTCATTTATTGAGCATCCTTCACACTTTTTGCTTCATACTATATGCTTAGCATGGGAATGCAGAGATGAATAAAACCCATCTCTGTCCTCAAAAGCTAGTAAATAACATATGTAAACAGAAAACTGGTATAAAACAACATTAGAGAATTTTGCCAAGAGACAATGGAGGCATATTATTATAATTTTAAATCTGTGCTATTAAATCATGGCCTAGGTCGTTTAAAAACTGTGTGTATGTGGTTTTTGAAAGTATTCACGTATTTACACATACACACCCTTCAGAAACTAAAAGCTAATGTTCAGAACAGAATAGAAGTTGGCCATGGGCTGGATGCAGTGGCTCACATCTGTAATCCCAGCACTTTGGGGAGGCCAAGGCGGGAAGATCACCTGACGTTAGGAGTTCAAGACCAGCCTGGCCAACATGGAGAAAGCCTGCCTCTATTAAAAATACAAAAATTAGCTGAGTGTGGTGGTGGGCACATGTAATCCCAGCTACTCGGGAGGCTGAGGCAGGAGAATCGCTCGAACCCAGGAGGCGGAGGTTACAGTGAGCCGAGATCGCGCCACTGCACTCCAGCCTAGGCAACAGAGTGAGACTACATCTCAATAAATAAATAAATAATAATTTAAAAAGAAAATTGGCCATGAACTATGATTCTGTTTAGTGTGTCTACTGCCAAGACTAATTATTTGTGTATCTAAGAAAGCATTCTGTCTTGATTAGTGCCATCTATTATAATGGGTAAATAAAACATTTGAATTGTCATAGCCTGGATTGCCATGGATAAGCCAGTATCATTAGAAACTGAAAGACATGAAAATAAATATATACTGCATAGAGTCCTTATTTGACTGGAAATAAGATTCTCTTGTTGACACTTAAAAATAGCAGAAGAAAGTAAAATTGATCCTTTCAATGAGTACTCTGATAACTGACTACAACATTAATATAAAGTATACAATGTGAGGTTGATTCTACTACCTGTCACTTCACCGAGGCCAGAGGTGAAGTGAAAGGGCCCAGAACACTAGATTCCAGCATTTAAATTCCTACTGCTAGGAGTTAAAGTCACTTGGATCACACCTCTTTATTTAATAGAACTAGGTTTTGCTAAGTATAAAATGTTTATTTCAGGTCAGGCACAGTATCTTACGCCTGTAGCCCCAGCACTTTGAGAGGCCAAGGTGGGCAAATCACTTGAGGCCAGGAGTTCGAGACCAGCCTGACCAATCAACATGGTGAAACCCCATCTCTACTAAAATTACCAAAATTAGCTTGGCGTGGTGGTGGGCACCTGTAATCCCAGCTATCGGAGCGGTGGAGATTGCAGTAAATGAGACTGAGCCACTGAATTCCAGCCTGGGCAAGGGAGTAAGACTCTGTCTCAAAAACGACAACAACAAAAATGTTTATTCCAAGCCATCTTCCTTTTCTCACACACTCTAGGGATTAGAAATGTGTATTTATGAGGCAGTGACAAATGGTTAGAAGACTAATCCCCGATAACAAAGAAATTGGCCCCTAAGTCATTCAGTTGCCAAGGAAGTAGCCCTTTAATTTGCAAAGTATAAATAACTTAGAAAGATCTTAAATATACTTCAATATCCCTAACAAATCTCTAGTCAGACAGGAAAAAATATATTAAGTTGATTTATAAAGCAGATAACTTTAACAACATATGTCTGGAACAATAAAATTTATCAATTTCATTCTACCAGTTATCATACAAATTTGAAATAGTTTTTTTTTTTTTTTTTTTTTTTTTTTTAATTTGGTGCTTATAGCTTGGAAATGAGGGGGATCACATTTTGGCCCATAAATTCAATACAACTAATCTATAATTATAGGTGGAGACAAATATCGCTTATGTTTCTTTCACTTAGCTGAGCCTAAGAAACTGTAAAACAAAACTTTTAATATAGCTTACAAATAATAAAGCAACCAATTAAATGGGTGATAAAGCTAAATTATCACAAATTAAATTCCCTATGCTGATATGCAATTTTATAATATCCCACAAATTAAAAATATAAATTAAAAAAAAAAAAGAAAAAGTTCCCCCCCAAAAAAATTCAAAAACTATCCATTCTAATTGACAGGAATCTCTCATTGAAAACAAACTGAAAAGTCATCTTTTTTGGGAGAGTCACAAAATCCTCCCTCCCTCTCTCCCTTCTTTTTTTGGTGGGGGAGGGGGTGGCGGCGGCATGGGTAAGAAAATGAAAACTAGGGAAACAATTATTTTTTAAAAAGAGTCTTTTAACTAAGACTATCTTTTAAAAAAAGTACCAACAGTTTTCATTTATTCCCCTATACTACTGAAATCAACAAATATGAATACTGGCAAGCAATGAGAGTGTTTATTCAGGTTGGCTTAAGCATTACACCAAATTAGAAACCAAGGTAGTCTCTACGATTATAATGGTTTGCCTGTGTATGACTCCAGTAGTATGGAGAGTGTAAAATGTGTTATTGTATATAGTGGGCTGTATTTGCATCATTTGCATCCTGCCACACAAAAACTGGAAACAGTTTGAGAATCAAAAAGAACTTGCAATGTGCGGTTGTTGTAAGCATTCATATGGAACTATAAGGCTCCATCTTAATGTCTTCTTTTGTTGTTGTTGTTGTTGTTTTTTTAATAGAAAATGAACAGTTTAAATGAACAAAGGAGTTGGGCACAGTGGGCTTATTATGCCTGTAATCCCAGCACTTTGGGAGGCGGAGGCCGATGCATTGCTTGAGCTCGGGAGTTTGAGACCAGCCTGGGCAATGTGGTGAATCTTCATCTCTACCAAAAAAAAAAGCCGGGCATGATGGTACGCACCTGTGGTCCCAGCTACTAGGGAGGTTGAGGCAAGAGGATCACTTGATCCTGTGGGGCAGAGGCTGCATGCAGTGAGAGGAGATCCCACTACTGCACTCCAACCTGGGTGACAGAGCTACACCCTGTCTCAAATAAATAAATAAATAAACAAACAAACAAGTAAAGGTATCATAATTTCACACATTTTTAGCTTCTCGTAATGTAGTTTTAATTTTTTGAAACAAATGAAAAAAAAAATTTCACAGAATCCCTACTCTCCTAATCCTCCGGGGAATGAAGTTATTATAGGCCTTTCCTAGCACTAAAAATTCTACTGCAATGAATCTCTCTTTAAGGTCTCTGGATCAACACCATAACATAATGTGGTTGAAATGACTGCCTTAGTAATCACTTAGGGGAGTATCAGAGCACTTCCTTTTCTTATAAGGAAATAAATTTAATGTTTTGTCTTAAGAAATGACCAGTTGTACCAGTCAGAAATGAGCTTACAAGTATGGTGAAAGCTTCTCTGCTAAAATATTTCTATTACTTTGTAAAGTTATTGGTATTGAGATTCTCAATCCTTCCACAGACCATTTCATACATTATATGCATTGCAAAATGAATATATGCCCCTTTCTAAATACCCTTTGAGTCAACTGACCTTATTTTTACTTGAATTCTACCTAGCATTCTGAAAAAATAATTTTAATGTAAAAAAATTACACTCACATCTAAAATATAGTGTCTCACATTTTAAATCTGTATTTTCTATTGTTGTTCCTCTCATCTGTATAATTTCTATTTCTCAGGAGACGACTTCTAGTTAGTGGAACTTTCATAACCACATCAAGCTCCACACTCTTTGAAGTCATATAAGAACTGCTCTGTATCAGGTAATGTCAAATAAACTCCCTAAACAGTGCATGTCCTCTGCTTATCACCCTGATAAAAAATTACTTCAGTAATTTTTGCCTTGGATTTACACAGCAGTTATGTGTAAGGCATCTACATTATATCTTTAGGAAATTATACATTCCTTTATTCCTCTTAGTTGAAACTGCCCATATTAAACACTGGCAAAAGACTTCTAATAAAACACATTCTAAACCTGAAACAAAGGCGATATCTAAATAACCGACATTATATATTAATTACATTACCCACTATTTTCCTAAAACCATCATTTTCTATGTCTGGCTCTATCAAAAAGAAACCAGTCCAAGAGAAGATGCGAGACACAACCTATAAACATTGAAAAGGAGGTTTTAAACATTCAAATACGAGACTGCTGGGTACAACTACAACAAAGCATGTACATTTGAGTTTGAAAGGTAGGTAGGGCAGTATTAGCATATGCTAAGTACTGTGAAGGACTAGCCTGATCTTTAGTTCAATTTTCACATCCCTCAGATTAGGCAGCTGTCCCCCAAATCCTGCCCCCTATTGCTTCCCACTATTTGTTTCAACCTTTTTTTTTTTTTTTTTGAGATGGAGTTTCGCTCTTGTTACCCAGGCTGGAGTGCAATGGCGCGATCTCGGCTCACTGCA